CCGTCATTGACCAGTGTTAATTCCTTGGAATCTCATTGATGGAAATGAGAACAACTCTCAAGGAAAACAATAGCTTTAGTTCTAGACAAGCTCAACCTAGACTCAAGGTGTATAAATTTCATTTTTAAAGTTTAAGTTCTTGATGTCACTTTAGTGTCAACATAATTGCTCCCTATATTATAATTTATTTTTTATCTATCTCCATCTGTGACATATGTGGAAGAAATTATTACCACAGTCCTTTTCTTTAGTTAAGGTCAGTTAAGGTCAGGAGTCAGCTAAAGACCTTAGAGTGTCAAACATTCTAGTTGCTCTGATTTTCAATAGTTTCACTGAGATGTTTGCTACCAGTTTGTGGAAGAACAATGTTGTGTCCAAAATAAAGTAAGTGGGCCATAGGTTGAGTTAATGAGAAGAAGAAACAGACGGTCAAAGGCTATCACAACATAACAAACATTATCTAAAAATTAAGGTAAGTGCATCAAATTAATGTCTCCTTAATAACAAAGATATACCTTGATTCTTATTTCTTTCCCTTAGAGGTAACCTAAAGCTTAAATTTACATTATGATTACAGCTTTCTTTTATAAGTTGAAGCACATTATTTTGGTCCATTGAGCAAACTCATTCTTATTCATTGCCTTTTAAAGCTGACATTTAACTTTCACAGCTGTAAAGTTGGCAAGAGGCAAAAGATTATTTAATATTCAAGAGTGCAGATTCTAAAACACCACAGCATTCTATTGTACGGAACGTCCTGTAATTGGTATATAGTAGCTGAAAGAAAGAGTTACATATGGAATTAGTGGAGGACAGTTGGAGGTGTTTGCATATTTATTTCCTGTCTAATACTTGTGAATTAAATAAAATAAATGAGTAATTCTAGCAATTCAAATGTATAAGGGCTGATTTTCTAATTTGTTTGAATTCATTTGCCAAAACAGAATTAAGAACAGCTTTTTGGTTCTAAAGGCCTTGAACCCCTAAATCAAATAAGGTAAGAGTTAGCCAAACTCCCTTCTATTATAATTTGCCGTTCAACATCAGAAATAATTAATCTATTCATTCCAGATATAACTATGGCGCATTTGCTTTAGATCAGGCTCTCTGTTAGGCACTGGAAACAGAGCTATGACAGTCTTGCCCTTCAGAACCTTGAATTTAGCAAGAAAGACAAGAATGCAAGTAATTGCAACAAATATGAATAGTGTTAGGATAAAAGACATACACAGTACCAAGGGCACCCACAACCAGGAACCTAATCAAGACATGGGGAGTGGGAGTGGCAGTAAGTTTGGGATGATCTCTATAGGAGGTGGCATATGAGATAAGACTTGATGACTTCGGAGTCAAGATTGAACATACACATCAAATCTTGCTTCCTCAAAAAGCTCCACTAAAATCATATAAAAGAGACTTTTTTAAAAAAGGGAAAACAGAAGAAGGGGCAAGAGAAATAAAATTTGGAAGCTCAAGAGAAGATGGAAGAAGAAAATTGTTAGGGTCACACTTCCAGCAGGGCCTCCAGAATGTTAGGTCAGGCCCGCTGGAGACGTGGGGTATTTGGTGTACAATTCAGTGATGCATGAAAGATGAAAAGAATTGCACAGAAATTAGATGAGAAAATATAGTTTATTTAGAAAGTAAACTAGAGAGAGAGAGAAAGAGGAGAGTCACTTTCCCAAGGTGAGAGAGGAGGTCGACGCTTAAGAAAACATGGCCTGGCCATAGCTCAAAGAGCACATGGCCACACCATAGTTTAGCAAGGCAATGGCCACTGGTTGCTCATAGTTGAGTCCTTTTAATCCTTCCCTTTGAAGGGGAAAGTCATTAAGGTGACTGAGTGTTGGTCTGCTCCACATCATCACAAAGGGCCAGATAAACGCAGGTACTGACCTCAGGTAATAGACTTCAGGCAGATGAGTGGGTTAGTCACATGATCGCTGCCATGGTGGTGGGCTAGATGGGAGACAAGGTTGAGGGGTTTTTCCTGCAAGAGACTTGTCAGACATTTCTAATCCACAATCTTCTTTAGCAAAAATGTGGTCTTACTATCATTTCTATGACTTTAGCCAGCCAAGGGGTGATCTTCGACCTTCTGCTTTCTACAAGGAGCCTGAAAGTTTCCTAGAGATTTTTATGCTAAACCATGAATTGAAAAGTTGGACTGTTGAGCTGTCCTGGTCTTGCATCTGATGGAGATTTGCTGAGGGGGTGGGGTAGTCTGCCACTTGGCCCGCAGCAAAATGTGATTTTAAAATGAACACCTCCTAAAGCCTGCCTATTGGAAATTTATCTTATCTATTTCTAACCAGTGCTAGATTCAAAGCATGTCAAGGATAAAGTCTAAGCAAAAATGGTTGTGTTGAGGCAAAAAGACGATGCTAAACTAAATTTATTCTAGATTTCTATAGGTACCTTCATTTGGGCAGTTTCTGACTTAGCAAAAAGCTGAATCCTAAGTCCACAAAGGCCTTGCAGGAAAAGTAATCTGAAAAGTTAAGTAGAGCTTCAAAGTTCCTCCCCACTCCCAACTGCAGGGTAACTGCCCCTCCTCTACTCCAGAAACTAGAAACTTGTTTACCAGAAAGGGCAAGCAAAAAAGTACTGGATCAACAACACAATTCAATCAGTGACCATACACAATAAAAGATTCATGTTGATATTCTACCCCCATTCCCTTGCTCACTCTAAGACACAGGAACTAACTCTTCACCCTTCAGAAGGGAGATTGAGAAGGCTCCTCTGAGAATCTGACCAGTCCGAAAGGAAAGACTAAAATAGAGTCATGCCCAGTATCAATGTTTCGGTCAATCACAGACTGGACAGTATTTACTACAGAGGTCCCATAAGATTATAATGGAGTTGAAAATTTTCTATTGCCTAGCATCATTGTCATTATTGTAACATCATAATGCGATGCATTCCTCATGTGTCTGTAGTGATGCTGCTTTAAACAAACCTACGGTGCTACCAGTCATGGAAAAATAAGGTACATACAATTATGTACAGTACATAATACTTGATAATCATAATTAACAACTGTTACTGGCTTATGTATTTACTATACTCTAATTTTATTATTTAGTGTGTACTCCTACTTTTTTTTTTTTAAGTTAACTGTAAAACAGCACAGGCTGTTTTGACCTCCTTCAGGAGGTTTTCTGGAAGAAGGCATTGTTATCATAGGAGACAACAGCTCCATGCGTGTTATTGACCCTGATGATCTTCCAGTGGGACAAAATGTAGAGGTGAGAGATGGTGATATTGATGATCCTGACCCTGTGTAGGCCTAGGATAATGTGTGTTTGTTTCTTCATTTTTAACAGAAAAGTTAAAAAAGTAAAAAAAAATTAATAGAAAAAGCTTATAGAATAAGGATACAAAGAAAAATATTTTTGTACAGCGATACAAAGGTTGTATTTTAAGTCGCTAATACAAAAGAGTCAAAAGTTTTTAAAATTAAGAAGCTTATAAAGTAAAAAAAATTTACAAAATGCTAAGGTGAATTTCTTTTGGAAGAAAGAAAATTATTTTTTATAAATTAAGTGTAACCTAAGTGTACAGTGTTTATAAAGTCTACAGTAGTGTATGATAATGTCCTAGGCTTTCACATTCACTCACTGACTCACCAAGAGCAACTTCTGGTCCTGCAAGCCCCATTCATGGTAAGTGCACTAGACAGGTATACCACTCATAATCTTTTATGCTGTATTTTTACTGTTCCTTTTCTATATTCAGGAGTTTGGGACCAAAATTGCATGACCCTCAAGTCCTACCCTTCCTATTCACCTAATCCTGCCCCAAGTGACATTTTATTTCCTGGGATGAAAAATGCCCTCAAAGGAAACATTGTGCTGATGTGAAAGAGGGAAAACAGAAAACGGCAGAAGCACTAAAAGCCATCAACACTGACAGTCAAAAACTGAGCAGTGGAAAAAGTGTCTTGATAGGTGTACTGTATCAAATGGATAGTACTCTGAAGGTGAGTGAAGTTTAAACACGCAAAAATAAGTATACATTTTCTATAAATTCCAGGTTTTTGGAGTCCCCCCTCATAAGTAAAAATTCCTATCGCTTATCTGTACATTATGAAAATTTGTCTTCTTTAGAAAGATGAGTGGATAAGAAATTTCTTTTTTCTTTTGTAGTAAGAATTCATGCTGACCCCAAAATAAATTTATTTTATCAGTAAAAATCATAGTCTCTTGCTGGGCAGTCAATTCTCATAGGTCACAGTAATGTTCCATGAAGTGGCCACAAACACCGAGTCAACAAATATTGAACCATTGCTCTTAGAGAAAATACAGAGTTAGGTTTCTGTGAGCCTCTGGTCATAATATGTTTACCAATTAACCAATATGTAACTTGTTTTTTTGTGTGTTTCTGCTTCAAGGCAACTTATTTAATGTTTCTGATTTATTCACATGGCCCTGACTGCCAATAGCACTACAACTCATTCCTGAACAAAGCTTGTATTTTTTCTGAAAAGCACATTACAGCCTTCCTGCTCTTAGGAACATGATAGCACTTCAGCATGATGCTTGGGGGACATTTTAAACAATAAGATCAACAACAAAAAGCATAAAAGTCTGAAAACCATGGCATTAAGTAGACTGCGAAAAAGACACTTGTTTATAATATGAGAGCTGAAATAAGAAGGCAGGACATTACTTTGCTCAACCTCAGCTGGAGCTGTGCAAATCTGGTGACCTAAATTTTTGCTGCTCTGCACACAGCTATGAATGGCAACAACAGAACCACAAGTATTTATTTGTGGGTTATGAATACACAAATTTTAAGGAGTAGAACAATTTGCAAATGTGGAATCTGCAAATTGTTGTAGATAAGGATGATTACTATTGTCAATGCTATGCAAACTGATGGAAATAACTTAATGCTGTTGACCTTGGCACACCCCTCACACCTTGACCACTAGAAACAAACTTTGTGAATCAAGGAACATTTGTACAATCTGCATCGGTTTAGAGACTACTAACATTTTGCTTCGATCTGCTGGATGTCTAGTCAAGACAGCTCCAAAGCCTGTGGCAGGCAATCCAGTCACCCTGGAACAAAGTAACAATTTTTAGAAAACTTGTTAGACTGCCATGGATAAACTTTCAAAGCCACACAAAACTAATTTTGAGTTGAATTGTTATGATGATTTTTTTTTTTTTTTGAGTTGGAGTCTCACTCTGTCGCCCAGACTGGAGTGCAGTGGCCGCTCTCGGCCACCGCAGCCTCGACCTGCTGGGCTCCGGCGATCCTTCCGCCTCAGCCTTCTGAGTAGCCGGAATTACAGGCATGCGCTACCACGACTGACTGATTTTTTGATTTATTGTATAGATGAGGTCTCCCCAAATTGCCCAGGTGTGTCTCGAACCTGCGAGCTCAGGCAAACCATTCACTTCAGCCTCCCAAATCACGGAATTACAGGCTGAGCCACCGAGCCCATGATGATTATTTTTAAAGGGTTTTCACATTTGCAATTTTTATGCACTTTGCAAAATAAAATGTCCCACAAAGTATATGAAAATTTTAGCATTTTTATCATTACTTTGACGGTAGTTTTCACTAATTACAGTGTAAGACAAAGGCTATGTCATGTACTTCCATGAGAAGCACTGTGCCAGGAAGCAGGACAACAGCTATAACTAAGAAACAGTCCCTACCCTCAAATAACTCTCTATCTAGGATGAAACACATACATATAAATAACTTGAATGCAAGTCCCCTTGTTATGTAGGACATAAAAAACTCAGGGGGCAAAAATAAAAGAACAGCTTACCTAATTCTTACTGCATATCTGGCAATATTTCTATCACATTTCACATTTTATTTCAACACTATGAAGTACATACTTATATAATTCCTATTTTACAGGTGAACACACTGGATCATAAACACCAAATAACTTTCATAATAAATTATGGAGTTGGGGTTCGCCCCTAGATAGTCAGAACCCTGTTGTAGAAAAAACGAGTAAAGAGGAAATGATGGCTGGGGGCAGTGACTCATGCCTGTAATCCCAGCACTTTGGTAGACTGAGGTGAGAGGACCACTTGAGATCAGGAGTTCAAGACCAGCCTCGGTAACATAGTGAGAACTCATCTCTACCAAAAAAAAAAAGTGGGGGGGGATGACATTTTAGCTGAGTCCAGAATGAGTAGATTGCTGATTGGTAAATAACAGAGGAAAAGAGAATTCCACACAAAGGGAACAGCATTTGCAGAAAGCATGAAAGTTTGAGGCCAAAGTGCTTGATGTATTCCTATATTGTATAGCTGGGGCCACTATACTACTTTGCTACTTATACAAACCCTTTCCTGCATGTGAATGTTCTGTAAGTATTAATACCTTTCAATAATCCCAGAGCTCATTGTTTCCTCATTCAACAAGGCCTTGCTCTTTATTTCAGCCAATTCTTTGTTTAAATAAACTTGTGACATCTGTTCATGTGTTTCCGATATCCAAATCTAGAAAAATACAAGCACATATTTTTCTATATTAATTAATGAATACATTTCCTAAAATAGTCAGTTACTAAAACATATTTATATTGAAGTACATTAGAATTTTGTTGACTCTAGTTGACATTAAAAAATAATATCTCATCGCCATCCATTATTTCATCGTAAATATGTAAAAATGGCAAGTACTTACTGTGAGTTGTTGGAAAGTAAGAAAAAATTGGTGGTTTCTATGAAACAGAAAGCACTGTATTCAATTAAATAACTCTACCTATTTTCTATTTCCTTCTTTATCCTTCTCAGGGTTGGCATATCTTTGATTTTCTAAGTAAGAAAATATTTGTAGTAATCACTTTGTAAATCACAAAGACTTCAGATACCATCATCATCATTATCATTCATCATTATCTAATTCTCTATTATAGAGGACAATTCAGTGAATTATCAAGCAATTATTACTGTGGGGAGAAATTTGCAAATTGTAAGATGTACTCCAACCAATTGCAGAATAGCACGGATAGCATCTAAGGGATCTTAAGAACAAAAAATGGATGTAAAGGATTCAATATTTTCTCCATACAAAACTCTAGAAAATCACTAATCTGGAGGTTCAGAGCAGAGAACCAACACTCAACACCAAGAAAACCTGTTACTTTCCCTGAACACAAAGATTAAGTTCCCCAAGATATCCAAAGAAGCCCCAGAAAACATTAATTCTACTCTATTTTATGTTTAAAGGAAGAGAGACCACTCTTTAGAAACCTGGAGACTTTAAATGCAAGTGTATCATAGCTATAGTCAGATACCTTTTGTCCACTTTGGGTTAGTAATAAGGCTCTGCTATAGCTAGGAATCTATCCTAGTCAAAATAATTTTGATTAAAGTCTATATCCCTGGTCCACTGGTCTACTCCACGGCTCTCTAGATCCTTCGCTTCTCAGAGCACTGATCTCAAAGATCTCAACCTCTCGACTCCCAGTCCAGTTTCCCAGCTCTGATCCTCATACCCTTAGCTCAGCTACTCTTCCTCTTAGATTTCCAAGTTCATAAGTCAATGGTAGAGGACAATATATGAGGTCTCAAATATTTTAACAACAACAAAAAAATATATATAGGGAAATTATTAGTAACCACTATTTTGTCTGAAGGCATAATGTTGACTAAAAAAATTAAGCTTAGATATGTTCTGACCATTTTCAGCAGTAAAATATCTCAACAAATCAACAAACTCTTTGAAAGTATATGAAACAAAGATACTACCAAACATGAAATAGAAATGTTAAAGGAAATAGATAGTCATAGCATTAGTGGAGCTAAAGTTTATTGGGTGGTTATTCTGTGCCAGATGATGTATTAAGCACTTTGTATATATAATTTCATTAAATACTCAAAACAACACTATGAGTATTGAGTATCAATCATGGTCTCCAAAGGAAACAAACAATCAAATGGGGAACTGAGAATAATTTAATGAAGGATCTATGTATAAAAGTGTGGAAAGCATTAAGAAAATCAAAAAACAATGTTGAAGTACCATGAAGAGAGCAATAGTGGAGAACCATAGGATAGAACAATTACTGGAACCCAGAAAAAATTACAGCTGTAAAGAATGGGCTACCTGATAGTCGTGGCTTTCAGAACAGACATATAGCCACGGCCAAACCTTGGTCCTGCAGGGAGGAAACCAAAATGTCCAAGCTTACTCTTCTTCCCACCTCCAATCACCCTCCAGTTCTTCCAATGAGCCAACCCCTACAGAAAGCCAGAGGGCATAGGAGTTCCTTGAGGTGATCCATAAAGACCAGCCTCCTTGGTACAGAGCAGACTGAGAAGGGTGGAAAGAGAATCTAGGGGGAGTGGCATAATTTATTTCCATTTTAAGTAAGGGGAAAATGAGGATAAAACAGATTAAGTAATGCCCAGGTAGATCTGCTAGAAAGAAGAAGCTCCATGATTCAAAACTCATGCAATCCAACTCACTCATTCACCCAACTATACATATCTATGAAGAAACTATGCATCATAGTAGATTCTAGGACTGGAGCAGTAAACAAACTCCAGAGGCTATACTAGCTATAGATTAGTATGTCATAGTAAATCATGGGGATAATGGCAATCACAACAGCACATAGCCAGACACCATTCTAAATGTCTTCACATTAAATGCTCGTGACAACTCTATTATTCTCACTTCGCAAATGAGGAAATAAAAACATGGAAAATTTTAGACTTTGAACCAAAGTTACAGCCTATTATCTGGTGGGGCCAAGAATCAAGGAGAAACCATCTGACTCAACTCGAAATCCCACCTCTGTGTTTCGGGTAATAGAAGCAAATGGTATCCCCCAATACTAGACTTTCTTTCTTCATCAGTAATAGAATCCTCACTTTTCATCTGGTTAAATGGTATTGCATATTTTCCAGCTTCCCTTATACCTAGATATGACCAGTGACTAGTTCTGGACAATAGGGCATAGTGGAAGTAGAATACGACATCCAAGAAAAGTCTTTATATTCTTTTTCTCTTCCTGTTGCATGGGCTGTGAACACAATGGCTGGTTTCCAGCAGCCATCTTGGGTCCTGACGGGCAGAGCATAAAGTTGGAAGGAATCTGTCTCTGACAATGTGTGGAACTTTCCTAACAGTCCTGGCCTGTTATCTTCCAGACTTTTTACACAGAAGAATAAAACCTTATGTGAACAGCCTCTGTTGATTTGTGGTTTCTGTTGCATGTAGGCAAACCTAATCCTACACCATCTTAATGTAAAAAATCTCTTTGGTGTAGGAATGTTCATAACCTGACATAAGGATGGTAATTCATAAAAGCATGTCCATATGTTTAAAAGTCTTTGGGGCTTTATATATATGTATATCATAAACTGGAGATTGGCAATTTGGTATGTGAGATAGCTAAATTAACACAGCACAAACTCACAGGATAATCACTAACATTTCCATTCAATTTGCATAATAAATTCTAGCTTGAGTCAAATGATAATCTAAAAAATACCTAATGTATATAGGGCACTCACTTCATAATATCATTCTTATTCCCTGTTTTCCTGAGAATCAATTTGTTTAAGTCCCAATTTCTAGTCTTCCAGAATGAACTCACCCCATACGTGCTGCACTTAAGAAAAGCCAATAGACACATAAACTGGGTAACTGCTTCAGAGAACTAAGAGGTCACTTATGACTTCTCAAGTTACACGTTTAAGGATAGCCAGACTTGCTCTGCTAAGGATGATTTGCCTCTGGCAGAATCTCTATTGGCAAGTTTCATTTTATATGACCTCCAATTGACAATTATTTCTTGGGTTCTTTATAGACTCCAGAAAGCATACTCCACTGATCCACAGTGAAGGCAAAATTTTCTCTCTGATGCCTCAGGTTCTTCTGGAACCCTCTAGCCTACATAGCCTTTTGTCAAGTATGAGTGACATTCCAACCCATCAAGTTCCCCAACCTCCAAGAGATTCTTATCAAATTCCCTGGGTGGTCTTCTTGAGACCCCACCCTCAGGTTTGAAGGGAAGGGGACATTTTCCACTCCTATCCTATGGGGACAAGAGAAGTGGGATTCACAGCATGCACACTTTTCTCCAGATGACTCCTCCAAATTCTAAATTCTTTTGTCCAGATCTCTTCAATTTCAGTCTTGTTTGTTTTTAAACCTTCAAGGGAAACGAGAGACCAAGAAACCCCAAACCACTTACTGCCCAGATGATTTGCATGTTCTGCATGGATGGGTTGGCACCTCACTTTATAATAAAGGAGACGTTGGCATCTTTTATCTTAGATCTTCAGTCATAACTAAGGAATAGCCTTATTTTAGCCTGTTAAACAGCACTCCCCCACCACATGTAGCTTTTTTGCACCATCTCCAAAAAAAAAACAAAAAACCAAGATTTTGTTAGAAGGCTTTATCTTTAAAAGCCATCGAAAAAAGACATTCTTATTTTTTCAGTAGTTTTGCCCCTGGAAATTCTGGCTCTATTTTCACATGTAGGTTAACTCAGCGTACCATACATAGGTTTTTAAAAATGACAGAGAGGCCCCACAACTGTAACCATCACCATTTTGTGTTACTTGAACTTGTGGGGTGCAATAAGAAAAATAATTTCATTGTTTTTACCCACTACCTGTTCAAGCAAGCTTTTATAGGATGGTTCTTTTCCTGTACCTAGAAGAAATACATTTCGGACAATTTTCATTTATTTTTTCTAATTACTCTCAGATAACAAAACAATTTCTTGCCACAAAATAATTTTGATAAAATAATTAATATTTATAAAATAGTCACAAAAGAACTTCTAGTTGGCTAGTTGTCTCAGGAAAGAGAAGAGCAGGGCAGGCAAAAAAAAAAAAAAATAGAAAATCAGCCTCATCCCTCACCCCCACACCTCCTCGTACTGACTTGCCCAGCCCAAAACAGGCTGCAAGGGAGGAAAAGAAATGCTTTCACCTTAGGTGAAATTCATCATTTTGATGAAATATTTTAATTACTGAAATGTGACCAATAGACTTTTTATTATCTAAGAGTGACCATAAAAACTAAAGAACCTACACACGGTTCAAGCCAAGCATAAAGAAAGAACTAACTCCACAGAGTAAATAGGCAGCTGAGGCAAAGAATATAGATGTGTGTGTGTGTGTGTGTGTGTGTGTGTGTGTGTGTGTGTGTGTGTGTACATAATTGCACCATGTAAGTCTCATCTGTTCATTGCAACAGTTATACATACTTAAGCAAACTAATATACATGAAAAATAAAAACCTAGTTTCTCTAAGAGTTAAATTAAGAGTAAAATTATTGATGTAGAAAAGGAGCAGCAAAGGAGGAGGATAGGCTCAAAATGGCAGGTGGCCTGCTTTCATTCCCTGTAAATGACAGAGAAGATATTTGCTAGAATAAATAAACTGAGACATGCAGTAGAAAACAAGAATTCTTGGAACAAGAAAGGCAGATGTGATTATGGTGACACGGGAAAAGACGATCCAAAGAAGT